TAAAAAAGAATGTTTTTTTAAAAAAATATTTACTTATTTTTAAAAAAAGCTGATTTCATAGAAAAAGACAAGAGAATGATGGTAACCAGAGATTGGAGAGAAGAAGAAAGGGAATGAGTAGTTGCTGGTTAATTGTGCTACCCTTCATGTGGGCAGCACCACTGTATGGGCTGATGTCTGGGAAGAAGGAAAAGGAAAGGAGCCGAGTCCCAGCATTCATCCTTCTTGCTTCTTGACCATATACGCAGTGTGACCAAGTGCCTCGCACTCCCACCAACACATTTTCCTCTCCACAATAGATGGTATCCCCTCAAACCATGAGCCCCAAATAAACACTTCATCAACTTGTCAGGAATTTTGTCACACCAATGACAGGTACCTAGTACAGGAAATTTTGAGTTATGTACAGTAAGTTGACTCTAGCCAATAAAAATACTTATCAAGTGGAAAGATAAGTTTCCAAATGTCTGACTACAAAAAAAAAAATGAGATAGAATGGATACAATTAGCTTTTATTTAACAATTCTATGATAGATACATTTATCAAAGTATTCTATTGAGCCACATAAGTATATAATTTGTTCATTAAAATATTAATTAATATAAGGTATTGGTGAGGCTTTCTTCATTCTAGAGTCTTCCAGAGAGACTCCACTTCCATACCATTTTCCAGCTTCGAGAAGCTGCCCTCATTCCTCAGTTCAGCCCACTTCCTCAAATAACTGCATTCTCTGGCTTCTGTCGCTGTATTTCTTACTAACTCTGGGTTCTTTGCCTATGCCTAAGACTTTTGGGGTCATAGTGGGCCCACTAAGATAATCCGGGATCATCTACCCATTTTAAGGTCTTTAAATCACACCTGCCAATGCTTTTATGATAGATATAATGTTTATACTCACAGGTGCTAGAACTTAAGATGTGCAGAGTCTTTAAGATCATTTGTGAGCCTTACATACCTGGACATACACTTAGCCCTATATCATGTACAGGACTTTTTATAGGAAATCCATTTTGAAGAACATTTAAAATCAGAGTATCCTGGGATGTACATTTTGTTTTTAATTTTTAAACATTTTTTATTTGTGTGTGTGTGTGTGTGTGTGTGTGTGTGTGTGTCCAGGAGCCCTCAGAGACCAGAAGAGGGCATCAGATCCCCTAGAGCTGGAGTTAGAGGTGGTTATAAACCACTCAATGTAGGTGTTAGGAGCCCGAAGAGTAGTTCTTCACCACTGAGCCTCCTCTCAGACCCCATGGAATTATTATTGAAGGGCTATTCCAGTCAGCCAAGAGACAGAAAATTCAGGTCACTCCAGGGAAGTTCACCAGAACTAAAAGATATAAAGCTCTGTCTCTAGTATAACACCTGGTTCAAAACTATTAGTGAGATATTGTTAGAGTCTTCAAAAAACGGGGCTGGCAAGGTAGCTCAGCAGGTAAAGAGCTTACTATGCCACATGTACTTGTGGTATTCAGGCATATGCACGTGTGTATGTGCACACACAGATATACACAAACAATAATTAAGTTTTACAATTTTTTTAAAGTCATAATTCAACAACCAATATGGCTGAAAGAACAACTCATAGGAATAAGTAAAAAATTTGAGAAGAGTACTTTTCAACCTTGAAAAGGGCTGTGTGACTCTTCCTGAAGAGTTGTGAACAAAGATCTGCTCAGTTCAACAGACCAAAGTAAGGATGCTTTAGTTAGGGTTTCTATTCCTTTGGCAAAACACCATGACCAAAAGCAAGGTGGAAAGGAAAGGCTTTATTCAGCTTTACAGTTCCACACTGCTGTTCATCATCAAAGGAAGTTAGGACAGGAACTCAAATAGGCAAGGAACCTGGAGACAGGAGCTGATGCAGAGGCCATGGAAGGGTGCTGCTTGCTGGCTTGCTTCCCTTGGCTTGCTCAGCTTGCTTTCTTAATAGAACTCAGGACCACCAACACAAGGATGGCACTACCCAAAATGGTCTGGGCCCTACCCCACTCATCGCCAATCAAGAAAATGCCCCACAGCTGGATCTCATGAAGGCATTTCCTCAGTTGATCCTCTTTCTTCCCTGATGAATACAGCTTGTGTCAAGTTGATACAAAACCAGCCAGTTCAAAGAATAACTGCCAAAATTCAACTTAGTGAACCAATGAGTTTTATTGGGTTATTTACAGAGTACAGATAAGGAGAAGAAATTACTCAAAGACATCTGCAACACTAAAAGCTCATCCTCGCATGGGTGATAGCTCATGAAAGCCGGAAACCTGAAGCTCACTGCACAGCATACAGGCAGTCCAACAGGTTAGAGAGTGATTTTTCCAGGCAGTGTCACTGGTCGCTGCTTCTTCCAGGTAGCTTGTCTCATTTACCTCTTCTAGGAAGCTGGTCTGGTCTGAGAGTGTTTCTCAGCAGTCCTTTCCGCTTATGTAAACTTAGAGAGAGAAGGCCCTAGTGCATTTGGTCAGTTTCAGGGACTTCTTGAAGCTTCTGAGTTGTTTGCTTCCTGCTTCTTAAAGAACCTTTCTTTAGAACATCTGGAGTGTCTCTCTCTCTTTTTTTTTTTTTTTAAAGATTTATTTTATGTGTATGGGTATTTTGCTTGTATGTATGCCTGTGCACCATGTATGTGACTGTTATCTGTAAAGGCCTGAAGAGAGCTTTGGATCTCCTGGAATTGGAGGTATAAATGTTTATGAGTCAGCATGTGGGTGCTGGAAATCAAGCCCAGGTCTTCTTGAAGAACAAGTGCTTTTAACATGTGAGCCATCTTTCCAGCACATATCTGGAATCATAAAAGACCATATGAAGACATCAAGAAGACAACAGGGAAACCTCACAAGAAACTAACTCTCACGGCATCTTGAATTTGAACATCAAGCCTCTAAAAAAATGAGGAAACTAATTTCTGATGTTTATATCACCCCATCTGACACATTTTGTCAAGGGAACTCTGGTGACAGGAACTTTGTATTTTTTGGCAAAGATGTCTAAAATCGTGAGACTATTATGATAAGAATTATCTTTTCTCAAGTCAACATTTAAGGTTTTAGGGTTAGTTCAAATGTCCATTTAATCATCATCTAACAAATATTGAAGTTCAGTGCTAGAGTACAGGTTTTGTATGTTCAAGAGTGTGTGTGTGTGTGTGTGTGTGTGTGGTATGGAGATACTGGGAAGAGTATGACGGACAGACAACACATAAACTTGTTCAAAACATCATAGTACATCAATGATCCTAACTTTTTCACATGTGTACAGTTTATGTGTTGGCACACATACATGTGGATGTCAGTGGTTCATGTTAGGTGTCTTCCTTCATTTCTCCCCACCTTATTTTATTTTATTAGACAGATTCTCTCACTGAACAGAGCTCACTGATGTGACTAAGCTGGCTGACCAGCAAGTCCCAGTGATCTGCCTCCAACTCTCCAGCACTAGGATAAGAGGTGCGTGCTGTGGTGCTCAGCCTTAAACTTGGGTCTTCAAACTTATGCAACAAGTACCTCACTAAGTGAGCCCCTATTTAACTTAAAAAATAAAACCAGCCTTAATATTAATATTCTTTGAGAAATTCTACTTCATTGCTACTGTGATTCTCAGCTATAAGGTATATACTTAACAGAGTTTTTCAGTCTCGATACACTGACATTATTGAACAGGTAATTCTTCAGGGAGGGATTGTCTTCCAGTCTCTACTAGGTCTTAGTAGCACCTTTCAGTAGTAGTAGTTAGTAATTAGTACTCTGACTTCTGTGACAATCAAAGATGTCTCCGGGGATTGCTAAATGTCATACAGTGACACAGACCCACAGGTCATTCTGATCCAACCCCTGAAAAGGCAAATACAACTTGTGCAAATCACTGAAGCAGAATCATGATAGTGTATGCCAATAACAGTGTCAGGAAGCTGGTAAGAAAGGTACATCAGGATATACAACATTATAATGATTTAGGTGGGGAAGTCATTTGGCTTTCTACAGTATGGCAGAAAGTTGTCATGAAAAAAGACATTCAATGTAATTATACCACTGGAAATAAGACTATTTTTTAAATTTTTGTTTCATTTTGTTTTTGAGAAAAGTTTGCATTGTACAGCCTATACTGGCCTCTAACCCATAACATTCCCACCTCTGCCTCTTGAAATGTTGGGATTACAGGCATATACCAAAACCCAGTCGTCATGCATTTTTAAAAAATACATACTTAAAATATTTTACATAGTCTATTTTTAAAATGTATTATATATTTTCTATTAATATACTTGGGAGTTATAGAACTATATAGATACAGAGAGAATAAGGAGAAAAACAAAAGGATGTATAAGAAAACCTTCCCTAGATGTAATTTCCTTAACTACACACTAGAAAGAACACTGTATTCCCTTAGAAAAGGAAGATGGAGACTCCTCAGCTCACAGTAGTTTCCCTTCATGTCTGAACTGAACCACAAATATTTAGTAAATGCCTACTATCTCAAAGATGTTGGGCACACAACAGGTACAGTCCTTGGCAGTAGGAATACAATAATGCCTAAAGCTTCCGAAAATGTCTACCTAACTGGTACTTACATTTTCATGAAGGCAGAAACACAATTTAAAAACAGGAATAAAATGTGGATTATATCCCGTGGTATTTAAGTGCTATAGGAAAAAAAAACTGAAGCAGAAAAGAGATCTGATCATCTAAACAAAAGATTTCCATTCCACCATGTGGAGACTGGGGTCCTTAGGACCCCCATCTTGGGAACCACCTATCCGGTCCATCCTTGTATCCTAGCACCGATGCAATCAAACAGATTCACCACTTCTCGGTTCTCAGACTCCAAGACAGTGTGGAGCCCTGGGCCACTGCCGACTTAATACCCAGAGCTCCCATCACTAGCTCCCATTTTTTAAAGAAAGGGAGTCCTCTCAAACTGAGGCCTGACACAGCCCCGCACGGCCGCGGCTCTAAGCGCCTTCAAACGCCAGGCCCGCCCCGAGCAAGGCCGGAGCCTCCACCGTTACCTGTTGCGGCGTCGGCGCCGCTCCCACGCCGGTCCCCGCGGCCGCGCCCGCCCCCGCCACCGCTCCGGCGACTGCTGTGGCCGCCGCCGCCACCACTACAGTAGTCAGAGCCGCCATGTTTCCGCGCTGAGACTCCCGCGCCCGTGAGCGGGATCAGCTCCCGTGGGCGTTCTCCCACGCTCCGCACACCGTTCCGAACTGCCGGACCACTGGGGCGGAGCGCGAAGCCGACCCCGCCTAGCCCTAAAGGGCGTGGCTTCGCGGGGCGTGGCTATACAGGGACGGGCAGCTTGAGGGCGGGGCTTGCCGGGGCGTGGCTGCTGAAGACTCCGGTGGGAGCGCAAAGGAGGGGGCAGAGTTAAAGGCGGGGCTTGGAAGGGGCGGGGCTTGGAGGGGGCGGGGCCAATCCCAGTTTGGGGGTTTTGAGGGTGAGAGTACTGAACCTTACTGAGGGCAAGGTGGATACGGGCTGCTGTAGCGCAACGCGGTTCTGCTCAGTTTTGTATTTATAGGAGCTTTATTAGTGCTGGTGTCTGTTCTGTTCGCTCAAGTCCATAACTGCTGAGAAACGCTTTGTCTTCCTTTAAATTCTATTCGTGTTATACCAATGTATGTATTTTTCATACGATAGAATTGTCTTCTACTTCTGTTTCACATGCTGGTGAAACTTAGTAAATGATAATGCATGCTGCTTTATATTTTCAAATTAAAAAAACATTACCCTCAAAAGCAGGTATCCGAGCCAGGAAAGGCATAGCTGCTGTCTTGGACTGTATTCGTGGGATGAGAGATTCCTAAGACCCTGGGTGGGATGCTGAGAAAAATGAATCTTCCTCTCAGAAGCAACCCGTGGCTGGCTATGCATACTTCTGCCTCTCCTTATGTAAATGCATTCATCATTCTATCTCCTGCTGTATGACAGGAGCCGTTCTAGATCCTGGGAATTCTTGTTTGAATGCAATGTGCAATATTGCAGTCTCATGACTTCTAGGAGGGAATACAAGCAAGTAAACAAACCCTGCATTTAAGAACAAGTACTCGGCAGCCCCTTTGTGAGTGCTTTGCATATGGATTCTCATTTAATCCTCACAAATAGCTAGGTTTAGCTATGTAGTGTGAGTATCATCTCCATTTCATGAATAAAGTTAAAGAAGGCCAGTCTGCAAGGAAGAGACCAGAATACAAACCCAGGTCTCTGGCTACGGATAATACAAGAGGATATTAAACAGGCTGTCAGTCATATGCCTCTGCATCCCCAAAGGTGTGGAGCTGGCCTTCATCTACATACAGATTATTTTGAATAAGATTTGATGAAATTTCTGAAAAGGAAACAAACTGAAGTCTGGTGACTGAGTCTAGAAAATTCTAAGTAAGCCGCTGCAGAAAGGAGGGGAATGAGTTTGGTGACAGAAGAAACTGTCTGGTTTGGGGAGTCTATAGAAGGAGGTCTATCAGTCCTGGCAGCTTCTGCCTGGCAGTCTAGTGACAAAACAGAAAAAAAGACAGTTGAGTTTGTCGAAAAGGAGTCTGTGGGCCATCCTGTCACGAGCAGAGCCAGTGGGTGATGGGGAACAAAGTCTGTTTGAATGAGTTAAGAATGTGGGGGTACAGGTGATCCTGTTGTTGGTAGCTGGAGGAAGTTGTGTACCCATGGAAAAGGTATTGCTAGGGGTTTGGGCAAGGTCTAGTAGAAAGCATCTGTATACTGCTACAAATGGCCCAGTAAAATCAGAAGTTTGATCCTGCAGAAAACAACTGCAACCAAGACCATAGGAAAGCAAGAAGGATGGGGCCCAGGGCACAGGCAGGGCTTGCTTACAGACCCATGCTTAGCTAGTTTTCAAGTGTAACTCAGGACCACCTTCCCACAGTGGAATGGATTCTTCATTAATAGTCAAGAAACTCCTGTCAGACATGTGCACAGACCAATCTGACCTAGACAGTTTCTCTCTCAGATGACCCTAGGTTGTATCAAGTTGACAATCAAAGCTCACAAAGGCACATTTTCAGTGTGAATTGTAATTTTCTGACTATGTCACTTAATAATTGCATCCCAGATGATGAAACTGAGTCTATCACTTCGAAATGAGTTCAGACAGTAATTTGAGAGTTCTTTATTTTATAGTTTGATAGAAAAATAAACTCAAATGTCATCAAATGTGTACTCTCTCAGACATACAGAAAACTGCTCAGAAATAGCTCCAAGCTAAAACAAAACAAAGCCCCTCACCAATAAAATATCTTTGTCAGAGAATTTGTAATGGAAATCATACCCTTTATATAAATGCACAAGTTAAGAACTTGTGCACCAAGAAAACGATATCCGTGTTTGGCGGTACAAGCTGGTAACTACTATAGTTGACATGCTGAGGCAGGAGGATTGTGGATTCTAAGACAACTTGTGCTAATATACTAAGACTTGTTTTAAGGGGAAAAAAAACAGAAAAGGGGGATCCCAACAATGTTGGAATATTTTCAACTGTTGTATATTAATTAATATGAACAACAACACTGGCTACCTTCTGAGCAGATGTTGCTTCTCTCCCACTCCTCTTTCTCCTTGTCTTCCCATTTCTGAAAGTCCTCCTAGTTTCCTTCCTCATCCTCTTTACCTTCTTCTTCACTTGTCTCTCTGTACTTGCTGTGTTTCACTCAACATACATCCTCTATTTCCAGCCATGTTGGTGCAAATAACAGGATTTCATTCTCTTAAATGATGAGGTATTATTCTGTTGCATAAATAGACCATGCTTTGTTTCTCTACCCACCCACGGAAGGGCATCTAAATGGCCCTGGCTGTTGGGAGTACTGCTATAGGTGCAAGTACCTTTCGGTATAAATCTAGTAGTATGCGTGACATCACTGGTTAGTGAAGACAGCTCCACATGCCATGCCTGTTTAAGTCTTTCTTAGTAATGCCATCCGTTACCACAGAGATAGAATGTTTAGCGTCTTGATCTCCAAGATCCTCTGCAGCTAGGGTTCTCAAAGTAGATTATTTGTAGATTATATCAATGCATTTGTGCAAAATATGATTTCAAAACAGTGAAATAAGGCAAGAGGATCCATTCTAGGATAGCTAGCAGCATGCACAGAGAGAGTCTGGGACTGACGGGTCTTGTATCTGCTTGCTGGTCGATCCAGAAGTAACAGTTTAGAAGGTATGTTCCTTCTCAGAATTGTTCCAATGAGAATTGTGACAGGCTGTCATTTTTTTCCTTGTATTGAAAATAGATTTTTTTCACGTAATACATCCTGCTTAGTTTCCCTTCCTTTTCTCTCTTCTCATTTCCTCCCAACCTCGCCTCCTAGCTGGATCCACTCCCTTTCTGTCTCTCATTAGAAGACCTGCTTCTTGGGGGATGATAATAGAAAATAAAACTACACATTGGAATTGGACAAAACAAACAAACAGAAGAAAAAGAACCTAAGAGAAGGAAGAAAAAACAGAGACCCACTCATTCTCACACTCTGGAATCCCATAAAAAACACTAAACTGGAAGCCATAATATATATGCAAAGGACTGATGCAGACCCATGCAAGCCCTGAGCATGCCGCCTCAGTCTCTGTGAGTTCATAAATGCTTCAATCAGGTTGCTTTAGAGGGCTTTGCTTTCTTGGCATCCTCTATTCCATCTGGCTTTTATATTTTTTTTCTATCTCTTCTTCCACAGGGTTCCCTGAGCTCTGAAAAAGGGATCTGATGGAGATATCCCCTTTAAGGATGAGTGTTCCAAGGTATCTCATTCTCTGCATCATGTCTGGTTCTAGGTCTTTGGATTTGTTCCTATCTGCTATACGAGAAAGCTTCTCTGGTGATGGCTGGGCAAGGCACTGATCTATGAGTGTAGCAGAATGTCATTAGGAGTCACTTCGCTTTGATTCTGTTGTTGTTATCATTTGTTTGTTTTATAGAACAGAAGTATTTGGTTTTATCCTAAGTCCCTGAGCTATCTAGTTTTAGGTTCTTGGTGTCCCAACCAGTGTCAGGTTTGAGTTCCATCTCATAGGGTGGGCTTAAGACAAATCAGATATTGGTTGGTTACTCCCACAAGCTTTGTGCCACTATTGCCCTAGCAAGCCTATCTTGGAGGCAGGACACCAGTGTTGATCAAGGGTTTTATGGCTAGGTTGGTGTTTACATTTTTTGTCATAGCCTGCAGAGTACTTTTCTGTACCAAAGATGCTAGAATATAGGGATGAAGGCTTTATGTAAGTACCAGTTCAAGTTCTCCATGTTCAGTGAGTTGTGTAGGTATTATCTTCAGCAATGGGACTGTGCTGGCTGGTCTTATGTCAACTTGACACACAAACTAGAGCTATCTGAAAGGAGGCAACCTCAATTGAAAAAATGCTTCCATAAGATTTAGCTGTAAGGCATTTTCATAACTAGTGATTAATGGGGGAGTGCCCAGCCCATTGTAGGTGGTGCTATCTTTGGGCTGGTGATCTTGGGTTCATTAAGAAAGCAGGATGAGCAGGCATGGGGGGAAGTCAGTAAGCAGCACCCCTCCATGGCCTCTGCATCAGCTCCTGCCTCCAGATTCTGGCTCTCTTTGAGTCCCTGTCCTGATTTCCTTTGATGATAAACAGAGATGTGACAATGTAGGCCAAATATACACTTTCCTCCCCAACTTGATTTTTGGCATGGTGTTTCATCATAGCAATGGTAATCCAAATAAAACAATTAGAAAGAAAATAAATAAGGAAAGAAAAAGCAGAAAACAGAACAGAAAAACCAATTAGGAATGAGACATAGAGGATAAATAATAAATGATAGGTAAAAGTTCAGCTATATCAATAATCATTTAGAAAGACCAAGATTGTCAGGAAAGACAAAAAGCAAGACCTAAATGTGTCCTTTCTGCAAGACACAAACATTTGCTTAAAAGATACAAAATAGCCTGAAAGTAAAGGGATAGAAAAAGATCATTACACAAATAGCAGCCCTAACAAGGCTGCAATAGTATGTTAATTTCAGTTAAATAGGCTTTAAATTTGGTGACAAAAAAATGTTCCCAGAGTGAAAAATATTTTCTAGTAATAATGGGCCAATAAATCAAGAGATAAAACTTTTCCAAATGATTATCAACCCAACAACAGAGCATCAGAGTATACAATTTTTCCAGCTCACCATTCTCTATCAGGTATATTTTACCAAAATTATGGTACAATCACTGAATTGCTGTTTTTAACCTTA